GATAGGCTCGAAATCAGAGGCTTGAGATAGTCCCAGCTGAAGGCGCTCAGAGCAAGGGACTGGTTCTGCTGACATATATATCACAGCTTCCGATAATTGCCATGGCTCATTTCCAGTTTCTCTTTTATATCTTTTGTATAAATTGGTACGAATCTTATCTGTCAAAACGCTTGGTAACCCACTTAATTTGGCATGCCAATCCAGATACTTGGGGGTTAATACTTTATCGAACTTGCCCATATTGTTTTTTTATATGATTGCAAATCAATTTAAATTACAGTAGATATTAGTCGACATAAATTAGCCCTGTAAAAAATAGTTTCCCAAGGGAAACGCAAATATAGTATTGTAAAATAATGAGACTATGCAACTATCTCAATTTCACGCTGTTCACATTTAATAAAATAAGATCCAGCTTTATATATACCTTCTATGCTTTCCTCATCATCATGCTCTAACTTGCATAATGGGCATATTTTCTCATTGGTAATTCCAAAATAATCAAAATCTTCACTACTAAATTCTCTATATAAATTAGAATATTGATCCAATGTCTTGTTACGAAAATAGGTGCGATCATAAATTGGCTTAGATTGGGATGCAGATGATACATTTGTCACTCCCAAGGGATTCGCCTGTATCTTCGATGCATTGGTTTTCGAAGTCACGTGCCCGTTCCAAATTGGAACGGAGTCTTCATAACCTACATTATCCGTATTAGTAGCTTTTTTTAGGAAATCATTTATAATGTCCTGGATCTGATTATCAGATAAACTTGAGATGGCACTTGCACTACAGCTAATTATTTGGATTCTATTTATTCCTATCCCATCAAACAATATATAGATTTTTTTAGCTCTGAAAGTTATTTTACGCAAGTTTACATCAGTAATGTCAGGAAGCAGGGTTTTGATTTCGCTGTACACCAATGTTCTTGCTGATTTGTCATCAACACCATTCTTAGACTTAACGTCCCTGACTCGATCCTCATATGCTTTATAGTAACAATACCAGCATAAAATCTCCTTACGTCTAAGCTTCATTGCTACTCTAAATAGATCAACTATATTCTGTGCCGTAACTTCACTAGATCCTGTCAGAATTGCTTCTAAAGAGAGTTCAGGAATCTGAATATTAAACGCCTTATTGACCTTACCATCACCACCTTTAGTGCAAGAGGATAGCTCCCGTCTCAAATTTTGATCCACTTTTTGATTATAAGGAATTTTTCGACACTCCGTATCTGCGTTCTCATATGATTCAGAAGCCGGAACCTGTTTGTCCACCATAGATGATTTCACGGGAGATGCCCCAACAGATGTTTGTTCTGGGAGGGTTACAAGTTCAGTGCTAGTCATGGAGATGTCCTCCTCACAGTGAGTCAAGTCTGAGATAACTGAGGATGAGTCTTTGGCAGTCATCTTATGCTGAACCTTCTTTTCCCGCCTCCTCTCTCTAATTTTATCACTGATGCTTTTCTTATTTACTTCAACCAAGAAAGCATCCATCTCCTTTTCCTCCGATGTCCTTGAGTCAATATTATTTCGCTGGTCTACTACGGCATTAGATAAATCAACATCTGACACTGCTATCTCTGGTGACATCTCTGCAATCGTTTCCTTATTGTTCTGTAGAGTCACCAAAGAACCCTGTTCCAATATCGCGAGTCTAGCCTCAAGCTCTTTATTTTTTTGCTCTAGTTCTTCTACTCTAGCGTCACGTCTGGCATTCTCCTCAATAATCTGCCTCAGCTTCGCGATCTCTGCCTCAAGCTCGTAATTCTTGGCCACAAGTCTAGCATTTTCTTGCCTAAGTAAGTCAATCTCGGATTCCATTTTGATAACACTTTTTATATAAGTATTCAAAATAAAAAAGTCATTTGTGTCCGTTCCAATTTGGAACGCAGATCGCTTTGCCGAGAAAAAAATGTTTTATTAATACACAAAAAATAAATCCAATTTCGGGACATAGCCCGTGGTACATGCTGTAATTTCGTTTTACAAAATGAAATGTTTATCTACAGACCCACACCAGTGTTTCGTTCATCTAAACTATCTATACTAACATAATATCACAACATTAACTCTAATCCGATTTCATTTGCCTCAACGTCAATATTCTGAGTAGAATAAAATGGTCGTCAGTTATGCCTAAAGAGACATTCGCGTTAGGAATAATAAACATTTATTTAGTAAAGGCCTCACCGAAATTTATGTTGCCCACCTTCCGTGATGCTCGTAATCCTGAGCGAAAAAAATGGATATTAGCTTGCGAGCCCTGAAATGCAAATGCCACAGCCGAGGAGTCTATGTAACAAAAATTCTCCGAAAACTCGGAGCTGGAAAAATCATGTCGTATGTCACACGGCCACATGATTCATGCCTTTTTTGTATAGTTAAATACAGTATTTATCAACGAGACGTCAATGAAATAATTCGTCTAGGTTGAAAGTTTGACAAATTTTTGGGACACTTTAATTGCGCAAATTTTTATTACAAGAAGAAAGAACTTTTTACATACCATACAGATCTCTTGGTGCGTATATAGCGTTTGTTTTGGTTTATGGTTAATACGATTCCAACACAATTTCAAAATTTTGACTTTACTTCTTTGAATTCTAAAAGTACGGAGTTTGAAATTTAGTAGAGTCTATATTTATGCTACTTTTTTCAGTATGCCTTTGAATGAAAGAAGGTACGTGATAGGATAACACGAGTAACGTGAGTGATACGGAAGACAATAGATAAAAAGACAAGTTGAGAAATCCAAGTTGGTTGGCCCACGCGACGACCAGATCTCAAAGATATAGGAAGTTCTCGAATAATTTCGCCCATATCTGTTACTTATTAACCGAAATCAACAAACCTGACCGAATTTGAGTCAGTTCTTTGGAGGCCACGGCTGGCCACGTGTACAATTTTATCTAGCCTTAATTAGCTTAATCAATTCATCATGACTCGAATTCCCGATTTTTTTTTTATCCGATATTTCCCGTATTCAGATCAAAAGAGAGATTATTTTTTCTAGCTTTATTTTAACTCTGATTTTCGCGTCCATCAGAAATAACACCATCATGGTGTTTTGTTTTGTGGTGGGTAATAAGATTGAGAACGCCTTTGAAGTTGAAGGCGACAGCAACATATCCGTTTCGGAATTCAGACGTTTAATCTACGATCAGAATAAGAACGATTTTGAAAGCCAACGTATTGATGCCAACAAGTTGTCTCTATGGAAGGTGGATTTACCTTTAGGAGATGATAGACTGAAAAAACTTGAAAACAGATCTCGTGATAGAGATAAAGAAAATACTACTATAAAAAATGAACTCGATGGTGATAATTTGTTACCAAATGCATATCTTGGCGAAATCTTCTCGGGTGGCTCCAATAACGTCCGCATAATTGTCCAACCACCCCTGCCTGCCACCACTGGTAAGTGTCTCACCTCTCGAACAAGAAACTCGCGTTATCTCACATCCTGTATTTTTTTTCATTCGATTAGGAAAAAGGAAAGCAGAAGATTCGGACGAAGATATTGAGAACCAAGCCATAAAGAAGAAACTAATAGAGGCCCAAAAAAAAGGTATTTATTATTTAATGTTGACTTTTATAAAGAATGATAAAGTCTTAACTCGATTTTATACCTCTTCTATATGAAGATAAGATGATGATCAAACACCTTATCGATGTCTTATCTTCTATCGACACAAATCAACAAGTGTTCCATGTACCACCATTGCCAGGAGAAGTCAGTACAATGGAGATATATAATCGGGGATGCTACGACTATTTTCGTAAATTTATACTCAATAATAAATCCCACAATCGGTTTTTAATCACCGGAAATCCGGGCATCGGCAAGACATATTTTGGGAGATTAATGTTAGTTGAGCTTCTTCAAAGTAAAAAACCAGTTCTTATCGACTGTAAAGATTGCACGCTATATATTGACCCTCAAGGTGTATCTTTCAAAGTGAATAGTGAGGAGTACAAACTTCTTGCAAAAAATGAGACTTGGTGCATAATTGATGGAAAAAAGCCCCAAGTAAGTCATGATTGGACTGAAGGGAAGTTTATAATGGTATCTTCGCCTAAAAGAGAGATCATTGCTGATTTTGACAAACCAAGGTGTGAAACACTATATATGCCAACTTGGAATGAGGATGAGTTACTTAAATGTTGGGATAATCTATATGTAAACAAAATTACTAAAGAAGAAATCAAAACAAAGTTTGACTTATGTGGTGGGATCCCAAGATGGATTTTTGATAGTAAGATGAGCTGTGAAAAAATTCGTAATATGATTGTTTCTGCATCTGCATCTCAATCAATTGATTCATGTATTATAGATTCTCAAGCCAAACTCTTCTTTGGTCATGAATTTTCTCACAAGATAATTCAAATACACACCAATCTCGAGGACACGGAAAATCCATATACTGATTCCATCTGCCTTTTCGCATCAAAATTTGCGGGAAATAAATGTTTAGATCAATTAAAAAAACATAAAAAGGAGGAACTTCGCACTTTCATTGAGAGTGCAAGGAATATGAAGGAAATGTCCGCTCTTCGTGGACAGCTATTCGAATTGATTTCACATGAAATTCTTCGTCGGGGAGGAAAATTTTCAGTACGCAAACTAACTACTAAGGGTACGGAACCTAAAGTATTTGAAGAATTTGATTCAGATTTAGAAGAAAAATTTTTTTGGTCTATTGATGAGATTAAAGATGATATACAGAAAGGACAAAAAAATTATTATCGGCCAAATTCTGATACGTTCGAAAGTATTGATAGTTATGTTTATCCAAATAAGATGTTTCAAGTTACTGTTTCTAGAAGACATGGTGTCAAACAAGATGGGCTAAGAGCAATCAAGAAAGTTTTAGATGAAGATTCTGATATTAACATTTACTTTGTTTTGCCAAAGGATATATTCGAAAATTTTAAAACAAAACAGTCTTATGAGAATAAGGGGGACAACAAGAGATTTGACGCTTGGATTAATAATATAGTGCAGTATGCACTATGCGTAGATCTTGATAAGTATTGCGGAGAATTATAAAATATTTGATTAAGCATTTATCATTAAGTGTAAACCTAATAAATATACCATTAAAAATTGCATGAGCGAAATTTTTATTTGACTTCATATGTGTAAATTGCTTGTTAATCATTATAATACAATGTGTGTTGTAGCGTCTGAAGGCACTGGAGGAATTTCTCGAGTGTTCCTTCCCACCTAATGCTAATTTTTTCGCTATCTACGATTAGCAGAGTAAAATAAATAATACATCCGATTCACATTTTATATTTGTTTCAAACATATCGTGAATGCTCTTTGGTAGAATTCGGCATATGATACTGCTAATTTGTGCTGAATTTCGTGGCATATAATTAAAACTGCACCAATGAGACTTGCAATGAGAGACTTTGTTTTGACGATCACGATTTTCTAGTAAATCATTTTAGAATCATCCTGGAGGAATATGACGCGTCACAAAAATCTGATCATGCACCATAACGGTCGACACTAACTCTTCACATACTTTTACCTCCATCTAGCTCTATAAGCTTTTCACGACTGAGGTCAGCTAAATCTTCTATTTTTTAGAGATCTTGACAAGAAAATAAATAGGAGGAATCGGGTTTGAGAACTCGAGTGGGAAGTTTATTAATAAAGCAGTTGAAAGGACATGTTTTCCGACCGATAATTTATAATAGAAAGAAAATTTTGATGCTATCCGTATGTAAAAATCAACAAGGGTCTAAAGAAAATTAGCATACTATTCATTAGAGAAAATTAGCATAGGTGTAACCGTGAAGAATCTTCACGATTAAAATCACGTGAGTATTTAGATCAAAATTCAGAACCAAGAATAAATGTTTCTTAAGCGCCTGAACACTTTTTACCGAAGCTCTTTTTCTTGTCAGCGAATCTATTTTCAGCCATGATATCACGTCATGTGTAAAAAAATTTTTAATTGCATTTTGCGAGATAGTGAAGATTCAATTTGAAAGGCGACTGTGCAAAGCTTTGTCTTTTTTTCGGACAGTGGATGATCGTGACATTTTGTCAAGGTTTTTCAATAACCTAAAATTTCGCAGAGCTCGGCATTCTCAATATCACGCCAGTTTCAGCATCCTTATCCTTAAACTCAGTATTTCCACTCTCGATCTCAGCAAACTTCTTCTTAAGTTCGGCAATCTCAACTAAGAGCTTAGCATTTAACTCTCTTAATGAATCAATAGATTGTGCGTTTGACAAATTAAATAATAAAAGATCACATGTCCGTTCCAATTTGGAACGCAGGTCACTTTTTCCCAAGAAAAATTTCCCAAAGTTGGCGGTAGTGTGAAATTTCTAGATGAGTTAGATTTGAGCTATAGACTGACTTTTGTCTTTTACGTACTATTTTCATAAATTTCTTCAATCGAGTACAATCGTTTCTTTCACCTTTCTTTAGCTCGATGCGTCTCCATAAGATAGGAGCACTGCATCTATACCACAATTGGGAAACATATAAGGCGGAATAGAGTGATTTATCTATCAATAAAAAATGTAAAATCTGTTCTAATAGTTCTGGTAAATAAAAGATGGTTGAATGCGCCATACATAGTGCATATTATATGTTATATCTTTAAACGAAAAAATAGCAAAGCGCCTGATTTTTCGAATCCTTCTGGCTCGGCCATTTCAAACTACCACTCGCTTAACCTTTCTTGGTCGCACCCTTCTTCGTTGCTTATGAAGACAACCCCCTCTTACCTGGTCCCTATGGGACCCCTCAATTATCTCAACTGAATCAGAATCTTCGGAAGACTCAGATGAATAGGAGAGACTCTTACATTTTTTAATATT